CTTTGTACGAACAAAAGTAAGAGAAATTTAGGAGAAGAATACGAACATGTTCTTGCATGAGGCCCAACGTTTTTTTCTTAAAGAGAGACTAAAGCAAGCAAAAAAGTGCTGTAAAAGACATATTTGAAATATTTAAGTTTATAGAAGCATGGACAGAATCCTGCAAGAGCTTCTTCCCTCACTCAAAACTTAGACAATCAACTCCTGATGTGCTTTAGTGATMTATATTACTCTCACTTCCTCTTCAGAAGACCTGATCTCTTCTCATCTGAACAGTTTATTGTGTCAGGATGTGCTAAGAGCCAAGAAGCGCCCATGAAATACCACTTTTACTAACTCATGCAGTGTGTATGGCTGCAGTAAGTCAGAGATTTAGACTTCCTTGAACTCTGGAGTTTTCTTTGAAGTGCTGAGTTGGACCTGCATCCTGTTTCATTTCTGCTGATTCCTGCGCTCCCTGCTGCTGGAGTTGATCTAAACACCGCGGTGCAGGTGAAACCAATCTCCTCTGACTCTCTGCTAAGATTTTATTTTCTTTCTCCCATTTCACCTTCCCTTTCAGACCGACACAAATACACCAAGTCTTTCTTGCCTGTTTAATCTTTTCTCAGTTGTGGTTGAGATTCTTCTAATGCACATTTTTTTTGTAAATTTCCTGGAAACCAATCAGAGAATGGCAAAGATGTGGTGAATATTTCATTTTACTCACTATTTACCAGTTATTTCCTCTGTGTTTTCTGTCTATAAAAGAATCATGGTCTTTTTCCCTCCACACAGCATCTATTCATCATTAAATGCAAGTACTCTATCTTGTTTGAATACCAAGGAGTAGCTGGACGASTGAAGAGAGGCCAGAAACAAGACATCTAAACCACCTTCAAAAGCCCCACAGAGACGGAGGGCTTCCTACCTCTTTAATGGATTCAGTTCATGTGGTGTGGGAGCAGAATTCAATCAGATATCTGTACTAAATATGGTAAACATGCAGGGGCGGTTCTAGGGGCGGAGCCACAGGGGCATTGGCCCCTGCTGAAATTTGATTGGCCCCCTGTATTGCCCCTGTCCTGTCACTCATCTGTCCTTTGCCCAAGAGTGATGATGCTGGGTGCAGTTCTATGTCTAAACACTAGAGGCGCTAATGAGCCAAATAGAAACGTCCAGCATGAATCAAGCGGACAGAAGTCTTTTTCTTTTCTTAAAATTTAATCAGGGGTGGGCAATCCTGGTCCTCGAGGGCCGCAGCCCTACATGTTTTACATGTTTCCTGCTCCAACACACCTGATTCAGTCAATGAACTACCTCTTCATGTTCTGCAGTATGGAGGACCGACACTGACATAATTACAAATAAAAGCTGAAATAGATAAATTAACCTTTAAATAAATAAATAA